AGAAACAGGTTGAGCAGGAAGAAACTATTTACTGAGCTCCCTCTAAGGAGATGCTAGGCACTTAGAATTATTTACTTAATCTGCAAAACAATCCTTTGTCGTGGGTAGTTTTACTCTTGGTTTGTAAATGGAGAAACTTGAACGTCTGCACAAGAGAAGACACTCTGCTATGCCACCCATCTTTAAAATGTTCTGTGTAGAAGGAAGAAAAAACTTACAGAAGAAGTAGGAGAGATGGCTGGGGATGAACCCTTAAGGTCTCTCATATTAGAAGAAGTTGGATCATTTTAAAGAGACTTGAAGGTTCATGTGCACCTAGAATAAATTATTCCTTGTCTTTACAGTCACTACAGTCTGGAGTGCCTCAGAACCCCAGTGTATTATTTTATTAATAAGATATACATACAACTTCTGTAGCTTTATGAAGAAAAAAAAACATAGCTTACATTCCTTGAAACATTTCTGACTGCTTAGTTGAATTCTTAGTAAAAATGTAAAATCACATACTTTTTGTATGTTTAACATTTCTTACAAAGGTATGGAGGTATAATTTTTACATAATGACATAATAAACCCTGTATATTTAAAGTATACAATTTGATGAGTTTTGACATATGTATATATCCTTGAAGTCATCGCCTACAAGCAGTATGATACATTTCCCTCAAAAGTTTTCTTATATCCTTTGCAATCTGTTTTCCTTACATCCTCAATCTCAGGCAAGGACTGATCTGTTTTCTGTTTTCTTATATGTATAACTTTAAACAACCTACTGAGTATTAAATAGGGAACCCGGTCCCCTCATTCATTTGTGGGAAAATTCTGTCCTTTTAAATACAGTAAACTATAGATGAGTCAGATTTGTAACTCAAAATCTGTGGGAGAAGATATGTGTTTATTATCTAATATTTTACTTACTCATTGTATTTATTGACTCTCTATAGGTTCCCTGCAGTCTAGTAGCAACTAGACCTTTAAATCAATTTTCAATGTGGGTCCTGGGCTAGTGGCATCAATATCATCTGGGAACTTGTTAGAAATGGAAATTCTTAGGTCCCATCCAAAACCTACTGAATCAGAAACTTTGGAGATAGGACCCAGCAATCTAGTTTAACAATTTCTCCAAGTGATTCTGATATCCACTGAAGTTTGAGTACCTGCAGTTTAAGATTATTGTGCCTACTTTGCCAATTTAAAGAGTAGACCCTAGAAAGTTCTAATCTCAAATGTTAGAGAAATCTAGATTCCTGCTTTAAAACAATAACAATTTAATATAAGCACATTTTGAGCAATTAAAGCTTAAAAAACACAAATGTAAGTTCTTATTGTTATTTTAAAAGTTTTTTATAATGGGAAAATTTTAAATATACAAAAGAGATAATATTATAATGAACTCCCATATATCCATCAACCAATCTCAACAATTATCAACACATGATCACTCTTGTTCCTTCTTTATCCCTATCTTCTCTCCCTGTACAATGATGTCATTTCATATGTAAAATAATGTCATTTCATATGTAAATATGTCAATATGTATCAGTAAAAGATAAGGACTATTTTGGCGTGGCTCGGTGGCTCACACCTGTAATCCCAGCACTTTGGAAGCCAAGGCGGGCAGATCACGAGGTCAGGAGATCAAGACCAACCTGGCTAACACAGTGAAACCCCATCTCTATTAAAAAATACAAAAAAGTAGCTGGGCCTGGGCGACAGAGCAAGACTCCGTCTCAAAAAAAATGAAAAGATAAGGACTATTTTTAAAAAACTTAACCATGATACCATATCATACTTGGAAGACTAACAGTAATTCTGTAATACCAAACTACCCAGCCAATGTTCGGTTATCCCAATATGTCACATAAATAGATAGACAGAAATATACATAAATAGATATGTACATTTTCATTTGGTTGGTTCAAATCGGAATCCAATCAAGACTCATGCATTCCATTTAACTGACTTGTCTCTTTTGTCTGTTTTACTGTATAGATTGCCTCCCTTACCTCCCCCCTCTTTTATTTCCCCCTTAAAATTTATTTGTTTTGGAAACTGAATCTTTGGTCCTGTGGAGTTCCCTGTTTTCTGGATTTTTGCTGTTTACATCCCTGTGGTACATGTTCCTCTGTCCCCTTCCCCGTTAGTTTCTATAATTGGTAGTTAGAGGTTTCATCAGATTTACATCAGTTTATTTTTTGGCAAAAGTACTTTATCTGTTTTTTTATGCTTTTAACCATAATATTTGGTTGTCTCTTTCTGTAATGTTAAGATGGATCAGTGTATTCAGCTTTTGGTAGCCTTATCCACTGGTGTGCTGGTAAATATTTAGCAACCAGCTTGGGGCAAGTTACAGGGGTCAAGGAGAGGGGATCCTGATTTGTAGCATTTCCCTGATTTGTACCAATTCCCATAATATAAATATTTCTACCATGGCTGGTTTTAAACTACCAATGCCATACTAAGTGGCCTGCAAAATTGCTGAAAACTTAACAGTTGGTTCTTGTGAGCAGTCAAGCCAGCTCCAGCACACTGCTGGCTCATCCGTCCATTAGCTTTTCACCTAAGGATTTTTTTTTTTTTTTTTTTTTTTTTTTTGAGACGGAGTCTCGCCCTGTCGCCCAGGCTGGAGTGCAGTGGCCGGACCTCAGCTCACTGCAAGCTCCACCTCCCAGGTTTACACCATTCTCCTGCCTCAGCCTCCCAAGTAGCTGGGACTATAGGCGCCCGCCACCTCGCCCGGCTAGTTTTTTGTATTTTTTAGTAGAGACGGGGTTTCACCGTGTTAGCCAGGATGGTCTCGATCTCCTGACCTTGTGATCTGCCCGTCTCGGCCTCCCAAAGTGCTGGGATTACAGGCTTGAGCCACCGCGCCCGGCTACCTAAGGATTTTTAGTAGCCATTGATGATACTTACCTAAATCCATTTTTTTCATTAGAGTTCTAAAATGGTGATATTCAACTTTTCTTTTCTTGTTATAGGAATATTAATTAGAACAGTCCTATGAAGAAAAAAATTATCTCATCTATTTGGTACCCAGATATAGAGTTCACACAGGAAATTCAAGATAAATTCTTCTGTCCCCATTGCCCCTTTACTAAACCAGTTTTCAGAATAGTGAGTTGGTTCTTTAGTATCTGCCAAAGGTGACTGAGTCTTACATTTAGTATTATTATAAATTCAAAGTTTAAAAAATATATTGATGTATGAAAACATACTTGATGTATTTCAGTGCATTGCATTTATTCTTTTCCATGCTCAAATTGTTCCACCTTTGGCTAGTGGGAGCCTCTTCATGTTGAAAGAGGCTACTTTCAACTAAGCCCTTTGACACAATCCCAGTAGTCTTTGTTCATTTTCTTACTTTCTGATTTGATAAGATATTCCAAGCTTTTCTTATGCATTTTTTTCTTTAAAAATTTTTTTTAGGCCAGGCGCAGTGGCTCAAGCCTGTAATCCCAGCACTTTGGGAGGCCGAGACAGGCAGATCACGAGGTCAGGAGATCGAGACCATCCTGGCTAACACAGTGAAACCCCGTCTCTACTAAAAAATACAAAAAAATAGCTGAGCGAGGTGGCGGGCACCTGTAGTCCCAGCTACTCGGGAGGCTGAGGCAGGAGAATGGCGCAAACCCAGGAGGCGGAGCTTGCAGTGAGCTGAGATCTGGCCACTGCACTCCAGCCTGGGCGACAGCGTGAGACTCCGTCTCAAAAACAAAACAAAACAAAACAAAAAAAACCTTTTTTTTAAAGTTTTACTTTCTGTGAGTACATAGTAGGTGTGTTTATCTGTGGGTTACATGAGGTGTTTTGATACAGGCATGCAATGCATAATAATCACATCATTGAAATGGAGTAGTCATCCTCTCAAGCATTTGTCCTTGTTTTACAAACAGTCCAATAACACTCTTTTAGTTATTTTTAAAAGTACAATTAAGTTATTGACTCTAGTCACTCTGTCGTGCTATCAAATAGTAGGTCTTATTCGTTCTTTCCATCTATGTTTTTTGTACTGATTAACCATCCCCACCTCCCTCCCACTGCCCCCTTACTACCCTTTCCAGCCTCTGGTAACCATCCTTCTACTCTCTGTGTCCATGAGTTCAATTGTTTTGATATTTGGATCCCACAAGTGAGAACATGTGATGTTTGTCTTTCTGTCCCTGGCTTATTTTACTTACCATAGTGATCTCCAGTTCCATCCATGTTGTTGCAAATGACAGGATCTTATTCTTTTTTAATGGCTGAATAGTACCCTATTATGTATATATACCTCATTTTCTTTATCCATTCATATGTTGATGGACACTTAGGTTGTTTCCAAATCTTATTGTGAACAGTGCTGCAGCAAACACGGAAGTGCAGGTATCTCTTCTGGTGCACTTCCTATTCAAGAACCGAAATGAGCGTTTCCCTAAAGAGCACTGGTTTCTTGTAGTGAGAAATGCTATTTTGAGACCATAATCTGGACACCAGCCTAGCTAGCTCATTACTGTTAGCTTTGTTGTTATTTCTAGGCCTTTTTAGGGAACAGAGGGAAATACAGATTTTTTTTTAAAGGGAAAATATGTTGCGAGTGCATGCTAATATTTCCTGTTTAAATGCAGAATTATAGGTTTTCAACTTTTTTTCTTTTTTTCTTTTTTTGACAGAGTCTCACTCTGTCACCCAGGCTGGAGTGCAGTGGTGCAATCTCGGCTCACTGCAAGCTGTGCTTCCTGGGTTCAAGCAATTCTCCTGCCTCAGCCCCCTGAGTAGCTAGGATTACAGGTGCATACCACCACACCTGGCTAATTTTTTGCATTTTTAGTAGACATGGGGTTTCACTATGTTGGCCAGGCTGGTCTCGAATTCCTGGCCTCATGTGATCCGCCTGCCTCTGCCTCCCAAAGTGCTGGGATTACAGGCATGAGTCACCTCACCTGGCCTAAGAAATATTATTAAAAGTACTTATAAGGCCAGCACTTTGGGAGGCCAATGCAGGAAGATTACTTGAGGCCAGGAGTTCAAGACCAGCTTGGGCAACATAGCAAGACCCCATCTCTAAACTAAATTTAAATATTAGTCAAGCATAGTGGTGTGTGCCTGTAGTCTCGCAGCTGAATCAGAAAGATCACTTGACCACAGGAGATGAAAGCTGCAGTGAGTTATGATTGCACCACTGCACGCCAGCCTGGACAACAGACAGAAACCTTGAAAAACAACAACAACAACAACAAAGTGTAGTTATTAGAAACCTATTCTTATTATAATTTAGAACATTATAAATATTTCCATGTACATGATAGTTACTTTTCTTCTGTGGTTATTACTAGGATTCTGCTGGAAGAAGTAAGAGTGTTCACCACATATTTTCTGCTGAAGAGAATAATCATCTTAGTTTTGATCCCCTGGCATCATTTATTCTTCGTACTGATCACTACATCATGGTAAGTGAATTCAATTAAACATTGCATACGTTACTGGATTTGGTAAATGCAGAGTCCTAAATAATATGCAGTAGTCCTCCCTTATCCATGGTTTCACTTTCCATCGTTTCAGTTACCCAAGGTCATCCATGGTCTGAAAGTATTATATATAATAAGATATTTTGAGAGACAGAGACCATAGTCTTGTAACCTTTATTATAGTATATTGTTATAATTGTTCTATTTTATTATTATTGTTGTTGATCTACTGTGCCTAATTTATAAATTAAACTTTATCAAAGGTATGTATTTATAGGAAAAAACATAATATATATAGGGTTTGGTACTGTCTGTGTTTTCAGGCATCCACTAGGGGGGGACTTGGAATGTATCCCCTGTGGATAAAGAGGGACTACTACGATCATATGACAAGAAAGTTGAATCTTATAAAATTAAAGTTTAGTTATTTGTCTAGAAGAATGAAATGCTTTTAAGTTGATTTGATTTGAATTTAAAGAAGCAGAGGCATGGATGAGTCATTTGGGATGCTATAAAACCAGGATAACTAAGGGAATTATAACTAAGGATATTAGTTATAATATCTAAGGGAATTATAACTAAAGATGCTATAAAATCAGGATAACTAAGAGAATTATAGGGACTATGCTAACTTGGGTTAAGGCTTTTTAAAGAATATTTCTTCCCACATCAATAATATGTGCTCAATGTAGAAAACATGGAAAATTTAGAAATAAAGTGAAATCAACCACACATCTTTCTTTTATCATAATATCCATTATAACCATTGTATTTGTCATTATGATACTCTATTTTTCACTCTTATACACATGTGTATATATATATATACACACACACACACACGTATATATACACACACACATACACACATGTATATATGTATACACACATATACACATGTATATATGTATACACACATATATATAATTTTTTTTTTTGGAGACAGAGTTTTGCTCTTATTTCCCAGGCTGGAGTGCAAAGACTGATTTTTTTTTTGATGGGGTCCTACCAAGTAGCTGAGACTACAGGCACATGCCAGTACAACCAGCTAATTTTTACATTTTTTTTGTAGAGACGGGGTCTTACTTTGTTGCCTAGGCTGGTTTTGAACTCCCGACTTCAAGCAATCCCCCTGCCTCTGCCTCTCAAAATGTTAGAATTACAGGCATGAATCTCTGTGCCCAGCCTTCTCATTGCTCATTAACATCCTTTTCTTTCAGATTGAAGAACTTCCTTTAGCATTTCTTACAGGGCAGGTCCAGTGTTGATGAAATCCCTCAGCTTTTGTTTGTTTGGGAACGTCTTTATTTCTTCTTCATGTTTGAAGGATATTTTTGCTGGACATAATATTCTAAGATAAAATTATTTTCCTTCTGAATGTGTCAGGCCACTTTCTCCTAGGCTTAAGGTTTCCACTCTGGAGTCTGCTGCCAGACATGTTGGAGCTCCTTTGTATGTTATTTGTTTCTTTTCTCTTGTTGCTTTTAAGATCCTTTCCTTATCATTGACCTTTGGGAATTTGGTTAGTAAATGCTATGAGGTAGTCTTATTTGGGTTAAAACTTCTTGGTGTTCTATGACCTTCTTGTACCTGAATATTGATATATTTCTTTAGGTTAAAAAAGTTCTCTATTATTATTTTTTTGAATAAACTTCCTACTCTGATCTCTCTCTGTACCTCCTCTTTAAGGCAAATAACTCTTAGATTTGTCCTGTTGAGGCTGTTTTCTAGATCTTGTAGGTGTGCTTCATTCTTTTTTTTTTTTCCTTTTTTTCTCCTCTCACTGTGTATTTTCATATAGATGGTCTTTAAGCTCACTAATTCTTTCTTCTACTTGATCAGTTCTGCCCTTGAGAAACTTTGATGCATTTGTCAGTTTGCCAATTTAATCTTTCAGCTTCAGAATTTCTGCTTGATTTTTAAAAATTATTGTAGTGTCTTCATTAAATTTCTGTGATAAGAGGCCGGGTGTGGTGGCTCACCCCTGTAATCCCAGCACTTTGGGAGGCTGAGGTGGGCAGATCACGAGGTCAGGAGATCAAGACCATCCTGGCTAGCACGGTGAAACCCTGTCTCTACTAAAAATACAAAAAGTAACCAGGTGCGGAGGCGGGCGCCTGTAATCCCAGCTACTCAGAGGCTGAGGCAGGAGAATGGCATGAACCCAGGAGGCGGAGCTTGTAGTGAGCCAAGATTGTGCCACTGCACTCCAGCCTGGGTGACAGAGCAAGACTCCGTCTCAAAAAAATAAATAAATAAAATAAAAATAAATAAATAAATTTCTGTGATAGGAATCTGAATTCCATTTCTGTGTTTTCATGTAGTTCATTGAGCTTCCTCAAAACAGCTATTCTGAATTCTGTTTGAAAGTTCACATATCTCTGTCACTCCAGGAATGATCACTGGTGCCTTATTTAGTTCATTTGGTGAGGTCATGTTTTCCTGGATGTTCTTGAGGCTTGTGGATGTTTGTCAATGTCTGGGCCTTGAAGAGTTAGGTATTTATTCTAATTTTTGTAGTCTAGGCTTGTTTGTACTCATCCTCCTTGAGGAGGCTTTCCAGGTATTCAAAGACAATTGAGGGTTGTGATCTAAGCCTTTGGTCACTGCAGCTGTATCTGTACGAGGAGGCGCCCCAAGCCCAGTAATGCTGCAACTCTTGCAGCCTTACATGCACTTGGTGGGCTTGGGTAAGAACTGGGAGAATTCTCTTGATTACCAGGCAGTCTTTTGTGTTCTTTCCTCACTTTTCCCCAAGCAGAAGGAGCCTCTCTCTCTCTTTGCTGGCCTGCCTGGATATGTGGGAGAGGTGACGACCACGGTTTGTACCATTCTGGGTCACACCTGAATTCACCATAGTACTGGGTCTTGTCCAAGGTCTGTGGTGACTACTGCTTGGCTACTGCTGATGTTTATTCAAGGCCCAGGGGCTCTTTAGTCAGCAGATGGTGAATCTTGCCAGGACGTGGTCTTTCTTTTCAACACAGCAGGTTCTCTTCTGGCCCAGGCTGAGTCTAGAAATGCCAGCCAGGAGTGAGGGCCTGGACTCAGGGGCTTCAGGAATCTGCTCAGTGCTTTCTTTTACTGTGGCTGAGCTGGTATCCAGGTGGCAAAACAAAGTCCTCTTTACTTTTCTCTCTTCTTTCCACAAGAGGAAGGAGTCTCTCCTGGAGCTGTACTGCCTGGAGAGTTGGGGGATGGGTGACACAAGTACTCCCCTGGCCACCACAACTGGTATCTCACAGGGTCACGTGCACTCCATTTCCACTGGCTCTGAGCCCAGCGTAGTACCCAGATTTGCCCAAGCACTGAAGTCCTTGTGACTTGACTGCCTTTCAAGTTTATTCAGGACCCCAGGGCATTTGTTTAGTCATCTGGCGCTGGAGCTAGCTGGAACTCAGGTTCCTACCACTGGGGCAGAGGATTCCCCTCTAGCAAGGGCCAGCTTAAGTGCTCCCTCTGTGGGTGCTGGCAGAATTCTGCCCTGTGTTGTGTTGCCCTGTGACAGCACTGAGTTCCAACACAAAGTCCCACAGTCATTTTGCGCTCTCCCACAAGTGCCCAGATGATCTCTGCCACAGAATGGGGGAAGGGTGGTGTAGGCAATGAAGTACTGTGTCGTCTACCCTTTTTAGTGCCTCTTCCCTTGATATGATGTTAAAACCAGGTACTGTGATCACTCATCTGATTTTTGGTTCTTATGAAGGTGCTTTCTCGTGGGGATAGTTGTTCAGTTTGGTGTTCTGACGGGGAAGGGGTGGATGATTGCTGGAGGGTTCTATTTGGCCCTCTTGCTATACCTCCTCCAAAAGGGGCTTGTTATGAGTAACAATAGGTATTCCTTTTACTTTATCACTCTAGAGCTGTTTCAGGAACCAGAGACAAAATCCAAATGTTATAATGATATGCTCCTATCACTGCTATCACTTAGAAAATTACAAGGATTTTAGGAGCTCTGACCAGTGGGGACAAAGACCAAAATATGTATTTCTTATATCACAGTATCACAGATGCCATTTCCATTTTTGTTAATAAGGACACTTTAAAAATCTTAACTGAAAGCGTACCCATGTATCTGTTTCACATTAACATCTATTTCCCTGCAGGCCCGGATCCTTTTTGTGCTAATTGTGCTGAGCCAGCTCACCATTCTCATTACATTTAGATATCGAGGATACCCAGAGCTTAAAGGTTAGTTATGGTTCCTTTTATTCCTATAAGCCTTGTTCATGGAAAAACCAAACTCTGTAAAATATTTTAAAGAGGTTTATTCTGAGCCAATATGAATGACTATGGCCCAGGGAAAACACAAACTCAAGAAGCCTTGAGTAAATGGTCCTGAGGCAGTTGGATTACAGTTGGGATTTATACATTTTATGGAGGCAGGAGTTATAGGAAAAGACATAGATCAATACACGGAAGGTATGCATTGCTTCGGCCCCAAAAGTTGGGATATCTTGAAGTCGGGGCTCACAGGTTATACGGGGATTCAGAGATTCTTTAATTTGCAGTTGGTTACAGGACTGAGGCTCAGTCTAAAACTTGTCAGCAGAAAGGAATGTTTACGTTAAGATAAGGATGTTATGTCAGCCACAATATACTGGGTGAAAAATGACCTGTTTAGCAAGATTGATGTCCTGCAGGCATTAGATCTTGTTTATAATTTGGTATCTTATTGTGACAGAGTCTGTTTTGTCAGTCTTATGATCTCTATTTTAACATTAATGGTGGTCTGTTGTTGTGCCCAAACTCTAAAAGGGAGGGAGTATGACAAGGTATGTCCAACCTCCCTTTCTATCGTGGCTGAGAACTCAATTTTTAAGGTTTCTTTGGGGTCCCCTTGGCCAAGAGACATCCCAAAATTAGTTCAGGGTCAAAAAAGACTTAATTTATAAATTGATCGTTGGTAGGCATGCCAAAGATGTCAAAAGGTTTAAAACACTTGGTCAGAATAGGAATAGATGTCATCGTGAAGTAATAGTCACTCACTTAAACAGAGTGACAATTAAAAGACTTCAAAAACAATACAGAAAGTTCTGTGGCTGTAAACAAACAAACAAAAACCTTTCAAAGCTCAGTTTTCCTAAGAAATGTTAAAAAAAAAAAATAAGGATAATATGAAACATAGGAAATTATCTTGATAAAATGTAAAATCTTTGTTTCTTAGTTCAGTTCCCAAAAAAGTAAAGAAAAAAAACCTTCCTGACTTGTGATTGCTCCTCCTTATGGGAAGCCTATTTAGATAACCTGGAAGTGAAACCTGATGGAAAGATACTTAAATATAGTCAGACATAGGAAGAGCATGCGTCCAAGCTTATATACACCATATTATAGAGGGACATAAACAAGAAAACTAGTACCTTGAGCAGGGGAATACAGGGCTTTTAGAAAAAGCATGGGAAATTTCCTGGTTATATGGACAATTCAGAAACATCAAGAAAAGCCAAGAGTACAGAATCAAGTTATATTGGAGGAAAACATTGGTCTATAAACTTTAAAGCTGCCATTCAGAAGATGCTTGAAAATTAAATTTTAAAGAAACAGATCTTAGAATTAAGTCAAAACCTCTTGTGGCTGGGCGTGGTGGCTCACACCTGTAATCTCAGCACTGTGGGAGGCCGAGGTGGGCAGATCACAGGAGATCAGGAGTTTGAGACCAGCCTGGCCCATATGGTGAAACCTCGTCTCTACTAAAAATACAAAAATTAGCCAGGCATGATGGCACACACCTGTAGTTCTAGCTACTCGGGAGGCTGAGGCATGAGAATTGCTTGAAGTCGGGAGGCAGAGGTTGCAGTGAGCCGAGATCACGTTGCTGCACTCCAGCTTAGGCAACAGAGTGAGACTCTGTCCTTAAAAAAAAAAAAAAAAAAAGTTCCCTTCAAATTCCAACCATCTTGATGATATAAAACTTCCATTACAGGACCCATCCTTCATAAACCTTCCATAACTTGCTTAGACCTTCCATTATTCTCCTAAACTCCTAGTCTTTGTCCTATATTTTCCCCCCTTTTATATTAGAATAACTAGTTATTTTACCTTAAGACAAAAAATCACTTAAAAATTTTTTATTCCTTTATATTGAGACCACACAAAATTCTTCCTCATATAAAAATTATTGGTTTCATATTAATAAAATCTTTTTTTTTTTTTTCTTTTTTGAGACGGAGTCTGGCTCCGTCGCCCAGGCTGGGGTGCAGTGGCGCAATCTCGGCTCACTGCAAGCTCTGCCTCCTGGGTTCATGCCATTCTCCTGCCTCAGCCTCCCAAGTAGCTGGGACTACAGGCGCCCACCACCACACCTGGCTAATTTTTTGTATTTTTAGCAGAGACTGGGTTTCACTGTGTTAGCCAGGTTGGTCTTGATCTCCTGACCTCGTGATCCACCCACATCAGCCTCCCAAACTGCTGGGATTACAGGCATGAGCCACCGTGCCCAGCCTTAATAAAAACTTTGAATTTTTAGTAATCTTAAGCTTTAAGTTACTCAGGAAGTAAGTAGTTTTGAACTGTTATATATTAACATCTCATGAATATATAGTTTATAATCTCTAAAACAATTTTTTTATGGAACAATTTTTGAATGTGGAATTTACTATTTACTAATAGACCCAAGTACGTTTTGTCTTTCTATACAATTTAAGAAACCAAGAACAAACTTATACTAATGTTTAGCAATTTATGTTCAGCATTTTATCTTACTTAGAAATGACTCAGACATTTCATGAGTATTTATTAATTAATTTAATATAATGTAACTTTAGGATTTAAAATCACATGAAAAGTTAATTTATAAATTTATCACATTTACATTCATCTAATTTATTTTTTAACTACACATAGATTACTTATGAAAACTAAGATATTAGATAGAGTTAGTCATTATGTCAAGGTATCTTTCTGTTAATCATTTTTACAGCATGTGAATTTCGGGTGTTCACCTAAGTAAAAATCTTAAAGCTAACTATATAAATATTTTGCCAAAAACTGAAAACAGCTATTTTTCATTAAATCAACTATATTAGTTTTACTTATCAAAGACTTACACAAAGATCATTCTGATTTTAGGCTGAATATATAGTTTTGTAACCTTTTGGTCAAATCCTGGCAGCTTAAAACATCTAGCACAGACAAATGCAAAACTATCTGATCAGTAAACCCAGGCAAAAATGTATGCTGATAATTCTGAAGACATTTCTATTTTTATCAACAAATTTAAAGTCAGGTTATTTATGAAAGATTTACTTAAGTCACATGAACTTGCAGGCATTTGAGTTAATCACTATATTTTGATAGAAAAATATATACATATAACATACTGATATTAAAAAAATTAAAAGCATATAGACTATCAAAAATAAAGACCTTACAGGAAGACCTTACTACAGTTTTTAACCTTAAAAATTGAGTCATTTTTTAGTAATCATCAGTCTTCACTCCTAATGGGAACATATTATTAAAACTCATTAATTCAGGTCAGGTGCAGTGGCTCATGCCTGTAATCCCAGTACTTTGGGAGGCCGAGGCAGGTGGATCACTTGAGGTCAGGAGTTCAAGAGCACCCTGGCCAACATGGTGAAACCTTGACTCTACTAAAATTACAAAAAATAGCCAGGCATGGAAGGCAGAGCTTGCAGTGAGCCAAGGTTGCACCACTGCACTCCAGCCTGGGTGACAGAACAAGACTCCGTCAAAAAAAAAGAAAAATAGCTGGGTGTGGTGGCACATGCCTGTAATCCCAGTTACTCAGGAGGCTGAGGCAGGAGAATCACTTGAACTGGGGAGGCAGAGGTTGCAGTGAGCCAAGATTGCGCCACTGCACTCCAGCCTGGGCAGAAGAGTGAGACTCTGTCTCAAAAAACAAAACAAAACAAAAAACAAAACAACCCATTAATTCTTTCTTCAAATGTTTCTTTTCCTTTTGAAAGGTCACCAGTGCCATGTCAGTATCACCTCTCTGGATTCCTGAATAGACAGTCCTAATTCCTGCTCCTATATCTAATCTGTCTATCTAATTCATCCTCTTAATTATTAGCCAATTATCCTTCTCATGGCATCTCATCCACAGATCACTTCTGTATGCAAAAGCCTTTAGTGACTTTCCAGAACACACTGAATAAAGATCAGACATCTCTGCAAGACATTAAAAATCTTCCACAATCTATTCTTATTTAACTAGCCATGTCTTCAACCAGTTACCTGTATTTTAGCCTAGATACTTTTTCACTATACATACCGTGCTCATTTCTGCTTCTGTACTTTTGCTCATAGTATTATCCCTACTTTATATTTTTCTAAACTTATCTAAATCTTAGCCTCCTGTAAGGCTTACCTTAAGACCTCTTTTGTCATACCATTTTCTCCAGCCATTCCAGGCCATAATGAGCTTTTGCTTATCTGAATCCCTATAGTCCTTTCTCACAATTAATTCTATACTTAATTAGATAGCCACTTTGCTTTATATAACCACTTTGAATGTATATACATGTTCTCCTTAACCAGATTAAGTTCCTCAATGCAGGAACTCTTTTTTTTTTTTGACAGTCTCGCTGTGAACCCCAAGCTGGAGTGCAGTGGTATGATCTCAGCTCACTGCAATCTCTGCCACTTGGCTTCTCAATCAATTCTCTTGCCTCAGCCTCCCAAGTAGCTGGTACTACAGACATGCACCACCACACCCAGCTAATTTTTGTATTTTTTTTTCTTTTTTTTTTAAGTAGAGATGGGGGTTCACCATGTTGGCTAGGCTGGTCTCAAACTCCTGACCTCAGGTGGATCCGCCCACCTCAGACTCCCAAAGTGCTGGGATTACAGGTGTGAGCCACTGTGCCCGTCTTCAGTGTAGGCACTCTTGCTTCCTAATTATCTTCTGTTTCCCATAGCCCCCAGCACTGAATTTGTACATAACAGACAATAAATACTTGTTGAATCAAATTTTCCTGATTCCTTCTTAATTTGGATGAAATCCCTGGGATCAAGGACTGATGATAGAGAAGGGGAGTATTGTAGTAGTGATTAAACAGTAACATGATTAACTGACTATGTACAGTACACATCCTATGGAATGTTTTTCTGCTTATATTTATTTTAAAAATTCTATGAAAAAGTTCAAGAAGCATTATTATACATGTGTATTTTCCTGAACATAATGTAAATAAATACATATTTGAGGTCCCCAGCCTCTTATATGGGGCTCTCAATATCTTTATATAGTTATTTAAATTTGAAACATATTTTAACCTACATTGTTTCACTTAATCCTTAAAACATTCCTGTGAGGTAGGTGCTATTGACCCCATTTTAAAGATTAGAAAACAAAGGTTTGGGGAGGTTATGTAAATTGTCCAAGGTTTCATAGCTAACAAGAGATAGAGGAGAGACTCCAAACCCAAGGCTTCTGATCCCAGGTCAGTTCTTTCCTCTAAATAAGACTTCTCAACTTTGGTTGTACCTTAGAATCCGCTGGGGGAACTTCTGAAATTTCAGTACCTACAACAGCATTCTATACCAATTACATCAGAATCTCTAGGGTGGGACCTAAGCATCAGTACCTTTTAAAGCTCCCCGGATGATTCCAATGTATAGTCAAGACTGAGAAGCACGGCTCTGTTGAAAGCAGTATTTCTCAATCCTGACTGCTTAGAATCACTGAGTTGCTGCCTAAGATCTCCCTCTACCCCAGGAAAATAAATCAGAATCTCTGGAGGGTGAGATATAAGCATGAGTATTTTCTAAAAGTTCCCCTAGGTTATTCTAATGTAGCCAAAATGGAGAATAATTACTTAAAATTTAAAGAATAGCTGCCTCTAAGGCTAAAGGATTTCTTAAAATAATAAATAATTGTTATTCTATCTGAATATGTAGGGTAATACTTTGAGAAGTACAGACTAGAACAAAAAAGAAGCTGAGAGAGTAACACACAAAGTAGGAAAGGTCATGCATTATTAGGCTTTGCATAAAATTGTTAGGCTGAGCAAGGTTATAAGTATAAAATGAATGTGCTGGCCTTTTAGCAAAGACATGACTTATTTAACTTACATTGGACTGTCTTTCATTGGGACTAGTCCTTTAAATATTTTTTACCAGTAGTGTTGCTTAGTGTATACTGAGCTTCCTTTCATAGTCCTCAGCTGACTGGTTTATGATCAGCCACATGCACGGGTGACATGGCTGGTTGGGGCTGAGGATCCATGGTACTGTAGACTGTGGCTGCAGAATGGAGCTTCTCTGAGTCAAGCCCTTACACTTGGGCTTTTTGTCACTGTATTTTAAAAGCATGCTAATTTGGAAAGTTTAGGGAAAGCTTTCAATTGGAGTAAGAGGTTAGCTATGAGTTAAGAACTGTATAATGTACAGGAAAGGACTATATTTGGACAGATACTCATATCTATGATTAGAATGAAGATATTCTGATATTTCTTTTAATTTACTTTTGAAATACTTTGATACACCTTTTTGAAGTTTGTATATTTGGACACTAAATTCCATAGAAAGCAGAGATTTGATCATCCTTTGAACAAACCACTATCTTTCAAACCTAGCTCTCAGGGAGGCAGAGGTGGGAGGATAGCTTGAGCCCAAGAGTTCGAGACCTGCCTGGGCAATATAGTAAGACCCCCGTTCTCCACAAAAAGGAAGAAAAAAAAAAAAAAGACAAGATAAAATAGTATGCTGCTCTGGTAGGTGTGTCCATTGTTTTTGGTTATTATATATATCTATATATGTATGTATATGTACATATGAGTTTGATATATTGTGATTATATATAAATATAACAATTATATATCTTATGATATATATAAAATATCTCACAACTACAGCATTTCTTCGAACTCTGCCTTCTGCAATTCTAAGTGAACTGTCTCACCAGGATTCCTGCCAAATTCTGAATTTAAAGTGGTGTCATCTTTATAGTTACCATCTAACAAAGGATTTGCTGAATATATGGTAGATAGCCCATGAAAGTCTTCTAGAAAATGTCATAAAGAAACTGAACTTTGCATGTGTTCACTGAATTTTTCAACTTTATGTTTTTTAGAACCTTCAGGGTTTATAAATCTGACCTCATTTTCTCTTCATGTCTTGAGCAAAATAAACATCTTCTACTATTCTGTGTTGTTGTTGACACTATATACAGTGCTGGGTAAGTAAATTAGTACATATTGTGGGGAATTTTGCCGAAGAATATATTAACAATTTTGACAACAGAATTAGACTCTTGAGGGTATAACACACGGCTCTCATGGATTCTTCATAAATCATTTTCTGGGACACGGTTTTGGAAAATAAAGCTCGTGCCTAACATGTTTAAAGGACATTTAGTTAACACCAAGTTAACTTAAGGGTGCTGAAAAGACTGCTACAGAATTAGTATTTGTGTAGAAACCTAATAGAAGCTGAAATAGCACCTCCTTAGAGAAATCTTTGTCTGTCTTAAAGTTTTAGTCTGTATCTCATCACACGTTTTATTTCCATCATTACCTTTATCAGAATTTATGCTTATCTTCTGTGTTTATTATCTATTTCCTCATTAAAATATTCACTGGTAGGTGGGTACAGTGGCTCATGCCTGTAGTTCCAGCTACTCGGGGGCTGAGGCGAGAGGACTGCTTGAGCCCAGGAGGTCAAATCCAGCCTGGGCTACACAGCAAGATGCCATCTCAAAAAAAAAAAAAAAAAAAAAAAAAAAAGTATATATATCTATCCATTGGTATTTTGCCTATTTTGCTTAGTATGTAGTTCATTGAATATTTACTAATGTGTGGCTCTCAAAAATTCAGGTCAAAAAAGAAAGAAGCTGAGATGAGCAATAGTTCAGGCATATCTGCACTCTTCTGTTGTATTATTATACCCAGTACTATCATGTGGCATATGACAACATTTCAGTCAACAAGGGACCCCATATACAGTGGCAGTCCCATAAGACTATAGTGGATTTGGAGGTATATAGTAGACTACATCATGTAGGTTTGTGTATGACATGTAAGGACAAAATTGCCTAAGGACACATCTCTCAGAATGCATCTCCATGGTTAAGCAATGCATGACTGTACTTACAAAGTCACTTAGCCACAGGTATTAAAAGCAGAAATCCCCATAAATCTCTTTTAGACTTTTGTGCTCATGTTTCTTAGTGACTAAAAATCAATTAGGAGTATATTAGCCTGTTTGCTGCCTAGTCTTAGTCTTTTACACTTTTATCCTCCCTTTAAACTTTGCTCATTAGTAACTCCCACCAGAGAACAAATGAAAATATAACACTTTATGATTCTGTGTAAGCTATGGCAGATCACCTCTGGAGGTAAGTTCTCTTTTTACAAGATAGGTTGAAGCAGTTTTAGACGCTTGTCTTACACAATGAGATAAAGCAAGTAATTTGGTTCCTGGGCTGTAAAACAAAACAAAACAAAATACATTAATAGGGAAGAATTGTTTCATTCAAAAAGTTGAAACCTGAAGAGAAAGCACCTTTTTAGACTCATGTGTCTTTAATGCAGTTTATATAAAGAATATCTGAGAAAATTGCCTCTGACTTTTTAAAGCTGAACCCTATTCTTGCCAGCAAATGATGGTATTTGCTTTTTTTTTTTTTTTTTTTTTTTTGAGATATAGTCTCGCTTTGTTGCCCAGGCTAGAGTGCAGTGGTACAATCTTGGCTCACTGCAGCCTCTGCTTCCCAGGTTCAAGCCATTCTCCTACCTCAGCCTCCCGAGTAGCTGGCATTACAGGCGTGTTCCACCACACTTGGCTAATTTTTGTATTTTTAGTAAAGACAGGATTTCACCATGTTGGCCAGGCTGGTCTTGATTGACCCGCCTTGGCCTCCCAAAGTGCTGGGATTACAGGCATGAGCCACCCTGCCTGGCCTAGTATTTGCATTTTGAGAAGCCTAGTCTAACTGTCCCTTATCACTCTCGACAAACACTTGATACTCTTACATAAACCAGCACACTTACAAGACAAAATGACAACAATAATAATAATAATAATAATAATAATAATACCTAGAAACTCACACACTGAGAAGGGGGCAGTAAATAATAATAGAGAGGAGAGAAAAGTCAGCATGGCATTCTAGATGAGAAAACTGAAGCAAGTTCAACTTTCTACATGGTAACCGTGATTATGTAGTTGATATACAAAGTCATGACTGTGGGCCTTCAAGAAGAGGTTAAAATACATTCATTATATTAATGAGTGCATCTTAGAAAGATTTCTTTCAAAAGGTAGTTGAAGTTTTTTTGCTTTAAGGAGTAATTCTCAATCATCTGGAAATTTAACTTCTGTGGAATACCTCTTTACCTCTTAAAGGAAATGTTAATGCATTATATTGAGGTTATTATTGCAACGGAATTTTCAAAAATGTGAGTGTGTCTTTTTTTTGTTTCTAGAATCTATAAGACACATATCTGTTCCAGGTATAGTGTCTACTAAGACAATTTCATAATCCAAAAAATATGGAGTAAAGGAGCAAATAGTTGGTTAGCAAGGATATCGAGTACAACATAGAGATTAACAATGAGGAAAGGCTATGAAATAAAATACTGATAGATGGCTAGTCTCATATATTTGCATTATTCCTATAAATGCATCTCATGATATATGTAATCAGAGTTATAGTTATTTAATCTCCTCCTTTTTTGTCCATTGCCTCTTTTAGGTCCATGGTTTTTTGGTGAAATCATTGATGGCAAATTGGGTTGCTGCTTTTCCTTTGGGATATTTGTTAATGGACATTTCCTACAAGGCAGCATAACATTTATAATTGGAATTCTCCAGGTAAGAAGTCAGAAAGGCAATTTAATAACATCTTGGCCTTGTTGGACTAATTGCATAACAGTTATGAATTAAATCCAAAATCCAAAATTAAGTACCATAGATCATCTTTCCTACTTTACTTGCAGGGGAGTCTTTAATGAAAGCTTCATTTGCTTTTAAAGTGCTTCCTAAACTCCTACCACTCTCATGTGAACATCTAAAATACATTTTTTTTCCCCCGAGACAGCGTTGCGCCGTCGCCCAGGCTGGAGCACAGTGGTACAATCTCGGCTCACTGCAGCCTCCGCCTCTTGGGTTCCAATGCATTTCTTGCCTCAGCCTCCTGTGTAGCTGGGATTACAGGCATGTGCCACCATGCCCAGCTAATTTTTGCGTTTTTAGTAGTGATGGGGTTTCATCATGTTGGCCAGGCTGGCCTCTAACTCCTGACCTCAGGTGATCCGCCCGTGTCAGCCTCCCAAAGTGCTGGGATTACAGGCGTGAGCCACTGTGCCCAGCCTCATTTCAGTTTTCTATTATGTAGATGGAGGCTGTCTCTAAGGAACTCTCTCATACCAAATGAATCCTGAGCCTTACCAAAAGGCAGGGTTTTTTCCTTTGTAAATGTTTACATTCATATTCTAATAAATAGTACACTAATAATGGATTTTATGTATCATCCAGACCCATGACTCCCAAATCTGTATCTCTGATCTCAACCTCTTCTCTGCACTTCAAGTGCCTCTATATCCAATGGCCACAGATGTCTAACAGGCATCTCAACTTCATATGATGTCTCTCTAATTAGGAACATTATTTCTACCCCAAACCTGTTCCTCTGTTTTTCCAGTTTTAATAAATGACTCCACCATTCACCTGATTTCTCCAAGATGTATCCTCAATTATTCCCTTTCCTTCGTACCCTGTATCTATTTCACCAGCAAGCTCTACCTTATTTGATCTGCTTCCAGTGCATATCTTGAATCCATCCACTTCTCTCTATTTCTGTTACCCTAATCTAAATTGTAATTATTTCTTGCCTGGGTCTTCTCCCTGATATTCTTGCCTGCTTGCTCTCAGTTTAATACCGAGCATCCAATGTGCTCTTTTAAAAACTTTACAATCAGCTTTTACTTTTCAGCTTGAAATGCTTTGAAGCAGAGCAGTGATCTGGGTCCTGCCGACTGCCAATTCCCACCTGGCTTATGCTCTGCATGCACTTCCTTAAAGAGGCCAAGACCTCTCCCATCTCTGGGCTTTTCATTTGTTCCTTCTGCCTGGAATGCACTTCCCTCCGCTAATTTATTCCTGTCCTGGCCTCTGAGAGCCTTTCTCCCCGTTATCTTCTTATGACCCAGTTCTTTCCTTCATGGAACTAATCACAATCTGTAATTATATTTTTGTTTATTTTTTTGGTCTTTGTCTTCTCCCTGTTAGAACGTCAGCTCTATGACAGACCTTTTCTAACTTGTTTGCCATTGTGTCCCTAACTTGGAGCCTAGCTCATGCCTGCCACATAACGGGTGCTCAATAAATATTTGTTAAATGAATGAATCATACAGCAGCTCAACTTGGATTATAATTTAGATCTTCTAATTTATATTCCAGTACTTAGTCACACTACCTCAAACAAAAATGGAGATAGGAAAAAAAATACTGACAGCCAAGCCCTCCCCTCACTCCACCAAAAGAGGGGTTGTTGTATGTGTGTGTATACATTTACTCAGTTCAATTCCAGCTTAACACCACTGCGTATTAACTGTGTATATGATACTGTACCACAAGTTGGGACTTCAACATAAATTGAATGATACCCGCCTCTAAGATGAATAAAAGGACATGGGCAAATACACAACTAGCCACAAGTCAGCTGTTGTATTATAAGCAACTGTGCTTAAGTAAATTAGCTAACCCCAAGACAGAAAGCAGCATATTCTTAGGATCCACTAATGATGCATTATTAAGACCAAACTCTTCCAAGGACTTGGGAGTAAGCTATGGCTCTGTTCTTTTCCAGCTGGCATTTTTTAACATCCCCTTGATGGCTTACATGTGTTGGAGCTTGCTGCAGCGGTGCTTTGGTCACAACTTCAGGTCTCATCTCCATCAAAGAAAATACTTGAAAATTATGCCTGTTCACCTACTTATGCTACTGCTGTACATCTGGCAGGTTTATTCCTGCTACTTTCTTTATGCGACATATGGCACCCTAGCTTTTTTATTCTCCCCTTTGCGGACCTGGTTGACACTGCTGACACCTGTTCTCATTCGTTGTGTGTGGACACTGAACTCCGCCAAGCTTGGAATCTTCATGGTGCAGTTAAAAAGCCACCTGAGCTCCTGAAGGCCATGTCTCACCACTGGCAGCTGAGCAGAAGCCCAGCCTCTGTGTCTGTAGCCCAGGCCTCTACCCCAGTAGCAGGTGGAGGGCCAGTATTGGTGCGTGAGCTTTAGGGAGCTGCTGCTCGTTTGGACTCCTGGATGTTGGAGGGATTACCCACTACTGATACCTGCAGAATGGACTGCAGAAAAGTCTCAAAAATAATGCCTTTATTCCTTCCCTCCTCAAGGAGGCAAAGAGTTGATTTATCTTTGTGAAGAGAAAACCCTTATCTAGGACACCCACAGGGTAGGGGTTGGGTGTGTGTACGGGAGTGTCTGAGGCCCAGTGTGTTTTTTAGGGGTTACCCCATGTAAAGCACCTACCGCTGTGCTTGAAATTCAGCAGCTGTCAAAGGTGCAATTTCAAGGGCAGGGAACCTTTGAGGATCTGGGCCCGACCCTGACCACGGCTGAGATATTAGTTCCCAGGCCTGTTTTCCCGCAGGATTGTGGGCTCTCTGCTTCCTTAGTCGGAAGTGTTTTCAACTAATCAAATAAATGAATGAATGATGAATAAGAAAGACCGTGAGCCTGAGCCTTGCTCGTGTGGCCTCGCTTAAGGGGCGAGAGAAGGCGTGGTCTGTCCTGGCCTCTGGGATGGTTGGTGCTGGACCTCTGGGGACAGGGCGGGGCGGGAGGAGGCGGGGCCAGGCCTGGTCTCTCATAATGGGATGGGTGGTGCTGGACCTCTGGGGGCGGGGCCGGGCCTCTGGGGCGGGGCTGGACGGCTTGTTGCCGGAAACGAGCCATTGACGCTGTGGCCCGGAAGTGGAGAGGCTGTCGCAGTGCGGCTCCGGCAGTGGCGGCGGAGGCCTGTGTTTGCGGCCTTCGGCAAGCGATTGAGATGGCGAGCGCAACTGCACCTGCAGCCGCAGCCCCTACCCTGGCTCCACCTTTGCAGCAGCTCCGGCACTTGGCGGAGGACCTGCGGTTGCTCCTACCTCGAGTGCGGGGTGAGCTGACGGAGTTGGAACGCGCGACGGCAGGGGCGGGCTCGGGGAGAGGCCGGGATCGGGGAGAGGGCGGGCTCGGGGTCGCGGAGAGGGCGGGCTGGGGCGGCGGCGGGGAGCCGGGCTCGGGCGAGGGAGGTAGGTCCGCTTACCTCAGCTTTTCCACTCGCCACCATTCGGCCCCCACACGCCACACCCACAAGTCGGCGAAGCCCAGGAGACCACCGAGGAGTTTAATCGAGAGATGTTCTGGAGAAGACTCAGTGAGTGCGCCTCCTGTCCCGGCTCCCCTTGCCTCAGTTCCCCCAGCGTCCCGACCCCTTTCCCTCTCGCTCTCCCCCAGGGAGGGGACTGCCCTTCCCCGCTGCATCCTTTCTGTGAGATACCTTACCCACCTCAGCACCTGAGAGGGTGAACCAGAATTCTAACATCGACATTCGGGAGGTGTTTTTGAGAAGTCTGGGTCGGTAAGGGAACGCGTATCTTCCAAGTCTGTGCAGCGCTAATGTATTGGCACCTGCCTTCTCTTCGGCCACCCCCCAGATGAGGCAGCTGTGACAGTGTCAAGGGAAGCCACGACTCTGACCACAGTCTTCTCTCAGCTTCCACTGCCGTCTCCACAGGTGGGCTTCACTTTCCTGGAATCGTTGGGCTGCCAAGTTACACCTTAGGAATCCTCTAATTTTCTTTCCACCTTTTACACGCATGCCAGGAGATTTATTTTCTCATCTGTCCAATGAGGTTACCGTTTTTTACTTCACGGGATTGTTGTGAAGACCGAATTGCCAAGTACATTTCCTGGCGCGGAGTAGGCAGGTCTTATAAATATTGGTTCAATCTGAAGTTCACCCTGGTTGTTTCTTTTCTGATAATTTTTTAAGCACTTTTTATTTGCTGGGTGTTTTCACATACTTGATGGCCATCTGACAGATGAGCAAGCAGGCTCAGAAGCTCAGGTTAAGATTTAAAAAAAAGCAGGGGAGCTAGAATTTAAATCAAGGTCTATCTGATGTCTAAGGTACACCTATTCTGTTATACTACATAATACCCTTTTTATATTATTTTTTATATTTAATCAGTAACCTATGCAGATAGTATAAAATTCAAAAGATATCAAAGTTAAGTGTGTTAAGTTTATCGTTCCATCCACTTTCTCGTTTTTGTCTCCCCCAGTTCCTTTTGCATTATTCCACATATATTCTGTGCATATATACATTCATAAACATTTATCTTGTATGTGTCAGCTTCTTTTTACACAAATGGTAAGATACCATAAACACTGTTCTGGACCTTCCTTTAAATAAATTAACAATAGAGCTTAGAAATCAACTCTTAGCAGTTACTATAAAGTTGTTCCGTTCTTTGTAATGACTGCATGGTATTCAATAGACTAGATATAAACATAATTTAACCATACTCTATGTGGACATTTAAGCTGTTTCCAACTTAGAATTACTGCAAACAGTGTTGTGATGAATTACCTAATTCTGTGTATGTATGTATATCAGTAGAAAAAATTCCCAGAAGTGGAATTGTTAGAACAAAGAATTTATGCTTTTTAAATATTCCTTTATTATTAAACTAATGAAAGTAAACATGTTGGCTGTGACCACGTATGCTCTATGCTTAGTTTTTCTAGAGCTGTGTATCCTTAATATGGGAGTAAGATTCTTTTAAAATGGCATATTCATTGCCTTACTTGATTTTCATAGTCAATAGTTTTAATTTCTCAGTCTACATATATAGGTGTTTGGAAAGAATATAGGTATCTTCTGCTGCATGTACCTACAGTGATAAACTCTCTCCTCCTCACATACCTTTGAGATTTTTTTTTTTTTTTTTTTGAGACAGAGTCTCACTCTGTCACTCAGGCTGAAGTGCAGTGGCATAGTCTCGGCTCACTGCATCCTCTGCCTACGCGGTTCGAGCAGTTCTTCTGCCTCAGCCTCTCGAGTAGCTGGAATTACAGGCACCCGCCACCATGCCTGGCTAATTTTTGTGTTTTTAGTTGAGACGGGGTTTCACCATGTTGGGCAGGCTAGTCTCGAACTCCTGACCTCAAGTGATCTGCCTACCTTGACCTCCCACAGTGTAGGGATTACAGGCGTGAGCCACCGTGCCTGGCCTATCTTTGAGATTTGTGATGAGGAAACAAGAGATGAATTGTATGATGGCACTTTAAAAGATTCATGGAAAATAGACTATTTCAAAAAGAGTAGTTAATATTATCTTATTTTTCTTATCTGCTAACCCCTTTCTTTCAAATACACTTAGGACTTGCTGCTAAAACTCACTGCAAGTAAGATACCACAAGGAGGCAGCATAGAACTGATTTTCTATACATGCTCAGGACAGTAGTTTCACTCATAGATGAAAAATTAGAATTTGGATTTATTTGAAATATATACAAATATTCAAGTATATACATATATTCAAATAAATACATATATGTGTGTATATATACACATACATACACATGAATCATCATTGCCTTCTTGAGATCTCACCACTTTAGTCCTACTAAAAGATAGGTGGGTTTTTTTTTGTTTTTTTAAAATTCCAATCTGCATGGAATGATACTTTAATAAAATTATGTGCTTGGATGTTGAATAAATGTCAAATTACCATAAATTTTCTAAACACTCTCAGTCACTGTCCTTATCTCATCCCTGACTGGTCACAGTTTGTAGACTGGCTCCAACCTGGACCACATTTGTATAGTATTGACTTAGAATTTAAGTCAATTGAGGACAAGGAAGATGAGAAAGCCAGTGACCACCTAGAAGGAAAATAGTTAACATCAAGCATTGTTGAGTCCATGCTAGTTACCTTTAGTTACATATTGTGATTCTGTTAAGAGAGAGAGACCTGGTTAGTGATCTAATAACCATGGTCTATCAGTCGGTCTGTCTGTCTGTCTGTCTCTCTCCCTCTCTTTTCTGTAAAGGGCCAGTTAGTAAACATTTTAGATTTTGTAGCCAACTGCCCAACTCTGCCCTTATAGAGCAAACACAACTACAGATATTTAAACCAATGAGTATGACTGTGTCCCAATACACTTTATTTACAAAAACAGGCAGTGGGTCCTGAGTTGGCCTGAGGACCACAGTTTGCCAACTCCTGGTCTAAGATATCATGAATATCTTGGGATACAGTGTATCAGGAATAAGTTTTTTCCTGCTGTTTCTTAATGGTTTATTGAGTTGTCAGCCCAAAGTCTACTATATAGCTAACTCCTCTCTGGTATGTGATGAGTATAGCAGAAGGCCTACCTTCATACTAGGACTTCAGAAAATGTTTGATGATGCTGTAGAAATATCTGCCTTAGGCCGGACGCAGTGGCTTACACCTATAATCTCAGCACTTTGGGAGGCCGAGGGAGGTGGATCACCTGAGGTCAGGAGTTCAAGACCAATGTGGCCAACATGGCAAAACCCCATCTCTACTAAAAATACAAAAAATTAACAGGGTGTGGTGGTGGGCGCCTGTAATCCCAGCTACTTGGGAGACTGAGGCAGAAGAATTGCTTGAACCTGGGAGGTGGAGGTTGCAGTGAGTTGAGACTGTGCCATTGTACTCCAGCCTGGGTGACAGAGCAAGACTCTGCCTCGAAAGAAAGAAAAAGAAAAGAAATATCTGCTGTATTCCACAGTAGAAGGGTTGACCACTTTGATCTAATCTGTTTCCTTTTTCATAGGAAACCCAGAAGTTCTGTGAACAAGTCCATGCTGCCATCAAAGCATTTATTGCAGTGTACTATTTGCTTCCAAAGGATCAGGGTAAGCCACATAGTAGATCTTTGCTAATATTGTGGATTATGTCCTGTGACTTTTACTTTTACCCGACTTGAACATATAACTTTCTCCCATAAAATACAGTCAAGGATAATTTTGTAATGTAAGTGACTTAAATAATCAAGCCATTATTCTAAGATACAGATGCTTTGTTCCTATGACTTCCCATCTCCCCTGCCTTGCCTGACTTGTAAGGCTTTTAATTTTCACAGGCTTCTCCCTCTTCACCCCGTTTTAACACCACAGATGCTGGCTGGCTCTCAGCCCCATATGCAGGCTCAGGCCATCCTTAGTTTCCTCCACCCATATTATATCTCACCCTATTTCTGAACATCTTCATAGGTTAAATGGCCTCCAGCCCTGCCTGTAGAATCATGCATTGATTATAATCATGCCAAAATTATAACTGAATACATGTCATGGATCTTCAGGGTTACTCAAGTGGCTTAAACTTCAAGTGTTTCATCTACAGTTAAGAGATCACGGTCTTTAACGAATGAATACATGGTGTCACAGAAAGATTTTGTTCCAGATCTCTTTTAAAGAAAACACTAAGGAATGGCAGGAGGGGCAAGAAAATGCCATGGGGATATAAGTAAGACCTGAGTTTTGTGTTAGCATGTAGGTTAAAGCATGTGGGTGTACATTACCTTATAGTTCTGTAATGCTTAGACTCAGGAAAGCAGATGGTGCTTCTGAAAAGAACACCAGGCTGCTTATTCTTTGGGTTTGGCCATAGGGATCACCCTGAGAAAGCTGGTACGGGGCGCCACCCTG